GCTGTGCAAAAGGAGACCCACAGAGCTGTCCGGGATAGCAACACTCTGCGCAAGGAGATTCACCAAGATGAGAAGGATACGCAATGCCTCCAGGCCCTCTACCTGACTGATCCGCGCAAGGACAAGAAGCGCATCGAGGACACGAAAGGCGGCCTGTTACAAGACGTGTATCACTGGGTCTTTGACAACTCTGAATTCCAACAATGGCGCAATAGCCTGGACAGCAACCTGCTTTGGATCAAGGGCGATCCCGGCAAGGGCAAGACAATGTTACTCTGCGGTATTATCGACGAACTGCAGAGATCGACTCTGGGAACAGGCCCTCTATTATTCTTCTTCTGCCGGGCCATCGACGAGCGGATCAACAATGCCTCCACCATCCTACGCGGCCTCATCTACATGCTCCTCGACCAGCAGCCGTCCCTTATCCCTCACGTGCGGAAAGAGTACGAGCATGCAGGAAAAGCACTCTTCGAAGATGCTAATCGATGGGTTGCTTTATCCGAAATGTTCAAATACATTCTGCAAGACCCAAGGCTGGAGGGCGCCTACCTGGTCATCGATGCGCTCGACGAATGCATAAGCGGCCGGCGAGAACTTCTCGAATTTATCGTCGAGATGACATCTACGGTTCCTCACGTCAAGTGGATTGTCTCCAGTCGCAACTGGCCAGATATTGAGAAGATTCTTAATGCAGCGACACAGAAAGTACGACTGTGTCTGGAGTTGAACGAAGCATCCGTCTCCGAGGCCGTTACTGCATACGTCAGGGTCAAGGCAGATCGGTTGGCGAAGCGAAATAAATACCACCCTGATACGAAAGATGAAGTCCAGAAATATCTGTCACAAAATGCACATGGCACATTTCTTTGGGTAGCCTTGGTCTGTGACAAACTTGCCGACATCTCAGGATGGGACGCTGAATATGAGATGAAGTTGTGTCCGTCCGGACTCGATGCCCTCTACAGGCGAATGATCGACCAGATTCGGGCCAGGCCACCAAGAAACTCCCAGCGCTGCAAGGATATATTGGCTGTCGTCTCGGCCGTTCTCAGGCCAATTACATTGGATGAACTGCCATCTCTTGTGGAGATGGACCCTCGATATTCTAGCAGCGACAAAGCTCTAGTGGAAATCGTAGGGGAATGCGGTTCTTTTCTTACTCTCCACGAACGTGTTATCTCGTTCGTCCACCAATCTGCCAAGGACTTCTTGTTCCAGAAGGCGTCTCAAGAGATCTTCCCTTTAGAGTTGTAAGATGTACACCACTCCATCTTCTCGCGGTCGCTGCGAGTCCTGAACAAATCGTTGCGCCGCGACATTTACAGCCTTGGCGCTCCTGGATCTTCAATTGTTGACCCCAAACTATTCGACCCAGACCCGCTGGCTGCAGTACGGTATGCTTGTGTCTACTGGATTGATCATCTCTACGATTGGCAGTCACGCAAGAATACCAATCACCTAAATGTGTTCCAGGATGGCGGTGTCATCGATGACTTTCTGAGGCAGCACTATCTCCACTGGCTCGAAGCTCTCGCACTTTGCAGGAGCATGTCACAGGGAGTATTGTCAATGGCAAAGCTCGAGAGCATTCTTCAGGTTGGTTCTACCTGGTGATATTTATCCTTTCACCTAGCGCTTCTAACATCACTTAGCAAAAGAACGTTGCATCACAATTACCAAGGCTGGTTTATGACATGCGCCGATTTGTTCAATACTGCAGCCAGCTAGTTGGAAACTATCCACTTCAGGTATATGCTTCAGCACTTGCCTTCAGCCCTGCCAGAAGCATGACACGAAATCTGTACAAGAGGGAAATGAGGTGGATTACTGCCGGGCCGGTTGTAGAAGAAGATTGGAATGCGTGCACGCAGACGCTCGAGGGGCATAACGGTTGGGTCAACTCCGTCGCGTTCTCGCCCGACTCGAAGCTCGTTGCGTCCGGATCAGGCGACAACACCGTCAAGATCTGGGATGCAGCGACGGGCACATGCACGCACACGCTCGCGGGGCATAGCGGCTGGGTCAGCTCCGTCGCGGTCTCACCTGACTCGAAGCTCGTTGCGTCCGGGTCAGAGGACAACACCGTCAAGATCTGGGATGCAGCGACGGGCACATGCACGCACACGCTCGCGGGGCATAGCGGTTGGGTCCGGTCCGTCGCGTTCTCACCCGACTCGAAGCTCGTTGCGTCCGGGTCAGACGACAAGACCGTCAAGATCTGGGATGCGGTGACGGGCACATGCTTGCAGACGCTCGCGGGGCATAGCCGTTCGCATGATGTCACGTCCTTGAAGTTGTTTGCCTCCAGGTCAGGTGACTCGAAGCTCTCCTATCAATATGGTATAAGCTCGGACTGCAGATGGATTACAAGGGACTCGGAAAACTGGCTGTGACTTCCTCCAGGATATCGGCCGAGTTGTTGGGCCGTAGCGGGATCTACGATTGCCACTGGCTGTGATTCGGGACGTGTCCTAATTATGACGTTACCGGCAGACAGCTAGTGCCGAGCTCTCTCCTCTCAGTTTCTCTCTCTACAAAGGGCCTTTTGAGCAGTGCTTCTTTACGCA